ACACTCACACTCCTGCTTGACTCTGAGGACAAACTCATCAACCCTGAGTATCTTCCCAGACCCCCACCCACCCAGAGTTCTGCCTGAGTCCCTCGTGTCCAGCCTGGCCTGTCCAGGACACACTTAAACACTAATGACTCTAAATGTCAAATTCAAAGTCCTTAGCCTAACAGTGAGGATCCATCATAGCTTTGTCACCTTGTCAATGAAGGAGGCGAACTTATTATTGAGAGTCTTGATCTGCTCACGCTCCTGGGCCTTCACTTGCCCAATCTGGGGGTCAATCTCCACATTGAGGGGCTGCAGGAGGCTCTGGTTAATGGTTACTTCCTGAATTCCTCCAGGGAAGCTTCCAGGGCCAAAGCCACCAGGCCCACCAAAGCCACCAGGCCCACCCAAACCTCCAAGACCACCCAAACCTCCAAGACCACCAAAGCCACCAGCTCCCCCAAGCCCACCAGCTCCTCCAAGCCCACCAGCTCCCCCAAGCCCACCTCCCATTCCTCTGCCACCTCCCAAGCCACCGCCAAAGCCACCTCCATACCCACTCCCAAAGCCACCTCCATAACCACCTCCAAAGCCACTGACATAGATGCTACGTCCTCCACCAAAGCCACCAGCCCTTGAGCCCCCAGCTGCCACACTGAAGGAGATACTCTTGTTGCCACCTAGGTTGTAGAGGCTGCGACTGCCAAAGCCACCTGCTGTGCCCCGTAACCCAGAGGCCCCACCACCAGCTGCCCTAGAGCGGGTCACACCGCTCATCCTGCTGCTGCCGGTCACCACGGCCGAGCGGCCGGAGAAGCCCTGGCTCCCGCTGCTGATGGATTTCTTGCCGGCTTGTCTGCTCATGGCGAGGAGGTTGGTGAACAGAAGAGCGTGAGAGGTAAGCAGGGACACTGAGTCAGAGGAGGGAGAGGGACTGGAGACCTGGGCAGAATAAATCCCTTTATATACATTTGAGGAGGTTGCTGGGCTCCAATGAAGGAGGGATAATTAATCCCAAATATTCATGGGCTGGGTTTGCCCTAAGGCAGTAAGTTTGTTCCAGGCTACCAAACACACCTTGAGAACAAGTTGAAATGGTAAAAGTGCTAAGGTGGCAGGCTTACCTAGCAGGGGGCGGTGCCTGGCGGTGCCCTGTGCTTGGGCATGGCCACCTCCTAGCTTTGTCTGACAGGACCCAGGAGGCACGCTGACCTGCATCAGGGGCTTAGCTCAGGTCTCTCTACCCAGCAACCACCCCTGGGTGCTACCAGATTCAGGCTCAGCTCTGAAAAGTGAAGTGGAAGGAGTAGGGGAGGTTCTGGGTCCCTGAGTGATGGAGACAGTGAGGCCCACCAAACTCTGGGAAAGTGTCTCCATAGAAGGGGTGATACGATTCACTCCACAGTCAGCACATGGTTACTAAGTGGTCACTGTCGAGCTCAGTGCTAGACTCAGGAACAAAGTAATGACCTCTCTTCCTCCCTTGCTAGAGACAAAGACCAGGATGATCACCAATCTCCCTCTATTCCAGGCTTCAGTTCAGTGGCTTTTGGGCTTATGATTATCTTCTAAGAGAAAATGTAAAGCTCGCCTGAATGCACATTGATCAGACACTGGCAAAACCCAACATGACAGATATTTGTTTGCTTTGAAAACTTCCTAGAGAAACTATGGGGCTCCTCTAAGGCTTCCTTTCTTGCTTCCTACATTTTGGCATTCCTCTGGCTTTATTCCAGGTCCCATGGAACAGGAAGCTCAAAGACCAACTCAACAAAATATTCAACCAATTCTCACAGATCCACTAAGTGCACCAGGCACCATGCACAGTGCAGGATGCCTGATCAGGAGCCAGATACACAGGGCCCCTGGGGACCATTCTCTGGTAGCAGGCATGCTCCTGAGAGTCCCCCACCAGCCTCAGAGGGCTAGTTCTGGCTAGGCCAGCAGCACTACTGAACAAGTCTGACTCCAAAAGCCTGAGAACTGCCGACCCGGTGTTTTCCAAGGCTTAGGCACTGGCTTGGTTTGTCCAAGAGAAGAGGCAGCCTGCGCAGCTCTGAGCTTGCCAAGTTAGCTGCTTATCTCTCCAGGACAGGTCTTTTTTCGTTGTGTCTCCTGCGTATGAAGCTCTGCCAAGGGTGTGGCCTGTGTGCTCTTGGCAGGAACAGTCTCAGAACTGGGGGAAAGGAGGAAAAGACAGAGATGTCAGAGTTCATGGGGTAGGGTTGTGGGAAGGGTGACCCAAGTGCATATTTCCCCAGTGGTCTGGTTCTGCCCTTTTGTCCTTCTCTTCCCTGCATGTTACCCCCAGGCTACGCAACATCCCAGCCCCTTTCCTAGGACAAAACCATGAACTTTCCAGAAGTTTCCAGTCTTGGTCATGTACTGAATCCTTTGATCCTTAACACAAGGCTTTGCCAATAATTGATGCTTATAAAGCTTGATTGATGGAATGAATGAATGAAACAAATTATTAATGAATCAATTGATTAATGAAACCCTTAAACTGGACTACAAACAGATACAACTGGTTAAAAGCTGGTTCAACTGCCATTATATGAGGTGGCCCAAGCTTATTGAGATCATCTCGACATGAGGAATCCAGATAGACTTTTCAGACATGGTGTTCAGATTTGGAAACATACACATGCAAAACGAGCATCATCTCCTCCACAGCAGGAAGAATATAGAATCACAGAATCAGAACCCAATGATCAAGAATCAATCAGAGAATCAAGCCGAAGTTGGGCATCCCTAGGATCTTCTCTCCAACATCTCCAACTTCTTTCCCTGATCTCCCACAACTGCTGCTGGGGTCTTAATGAAATGTGAAATGAGCCCAGGCCCAGAGGTGGCCACACACAGCCCTCTTCTCCACTTTGCTACCACAGAGGAAACAGAGTTTGAGGGATGAACCAAACCCAGGGCTGAATCAGACTCTCCCCATGACTAACCATGACCAAGGCTGCTGGTCCACTGTGCTTTAGCATCATTAAAAAACCATCAAAGGTGATCAATCATCTCCACCTTTCTGGATGGATCTCCATGGAACATAGCTAGATAAAGGAATTCTGACAATAATTCACAAAAATGTATCACACAAATTAGGTCATTTTTTTTTAATTTAAGAGAGTTGAGTAGTGTATAATGCTGCTAAGTGTCACACTTAGCAGCAGAAATTTATTTGTACTATGATGAAGTAATTTTCTACAAAAATTACATATGTATGTGTATTTATATATACTTACACATACATTTACATATATATATATATATA